CACTGGAATCTTTCCCTACACTAGACACACTATCACTGACCTAGCCACTTCGCAAATGCGCCAACTGAAGGGGGTCAGTGCTATTTATTAGCATTGTCCACACTAAAGATGGTCACTGAGGTCATCCAGGGCAGGAAGATCCAATCAGACAGTTGCTTTCCTAATGACACCAATGGAGGCACGTGAGCTCCCTCTAGGGTTGCCACCTCATCCCTTTAAAAACTGAACACATATTAATTACACAGGTTTTGTGGCTGATTAAGGTGGTATATAAAACTCACTTGCTGCCTTATCTGCAATAAATTAGCCTCAGAACCTGTGTAATATACATGTGTTCACTTTTAAAGGGATGAGGTGGCAACCCTAGTTCCCTCTGTCCTCCACTCTCTCTGCATGGCAGCCACCGAACAGCGCCACCTGTGCAGGGAGGTCGAACTGCGACTGCCTGCAATGTGACATGAATTAGTGCACTGTCTGTCAAGGATGTAAGACTTTTTCAAAAGTACACATGTAGCGCTACCCTCTTGAGAGCCGCTGGTTTTGGGTCCCCCCTTTTTCCTGCAAAGCCAGGCAACATGCATTTTCCAGCTTGTATCTAGACACATAGAAACAGTCCATGGGCTTGGTTTTTAGAATTTATTAGGGAATTTAACTTGGATAGGGTAAAGGGATTATGGGATGCCCAAGTTGGTTTAGGAATAGCAAAATGAGGACAATTTCCTTCTCTAGAATACTGCAAAATGACAGACTTTTGACTGCATTCCAGCTGGAACCATGACAGTCTTTAGTAAAGCATTCCCCTCCTAGGAATTGGGTGCCCCCTGAGTGGATTTTAAATAAAGTGACAACTTGTAGGAGCTCTGAGTCTCCTTTGTGAACAAAATACCAGCCCACCTAGCTATGGTATCTGATCCCAGGACAAGGAATTAGGTAAACTAAAAACTGTTCCCTGAAGACTTGCCAAGAACTTCCATTCAGCAGACCTCTCCCTTATAGGGCTTGGGGATGTAGAGGTACTCACACTCTCCTTGTCCTGCAGCTGTGGTTAGAACTACATTCAGGCCTTCCGCTGGGTTGGTTCTTTTCCACACTATGCAGGCTGTCCTTCCCATATGGACTGCAGGGCAGTGGAGCTTCCTCCTTCAGCTTTTCTCCTTTCTCCAACCTCCAGCCTGGAGGCAGAATCCCCCATCTCCGGGGCCCCCCTCCCAGGCTACATAGCAGCACTTTAATCCATTATCTTCCACCCGACTCTCCTGCTGGCCAGGATCTGTCATATTTATGGGTCAGTCTGCCACACTGCCACACTAGAGGGTGCTACACATACAGTAAAGGAAATAAGTATTGAATCCCCGCTGATTTTGAATGATTGCACCAACTGTTGTCACCTTCTCACCAAGCTGCATGGCGATAGTTTGGTAGGCCAGTCCTGCCTTCTGTAGGTCTACAATCTTGTCCCTGACATCCTTGGACAACTCTTTGGTCTTTGTCATGGTGGAGAGTTTGGAATCTCATTGTTTGATTGCTCCTGTGGACAGGTGTCATTTATACAGGTAACAAAATGAGATCCTGCTGAATGATAGGGGATCAAATACTTCTTTTCCTCATGAACATGCGAATCAGTGCATAATTTGTTAGACATGCATTTCTTTTGAATTTTTTGTTGCTATTATGTCTCAGTGTTACAATACACCTACTGTTCAATTTTTAGACTGATCATTTCTTTGTGAGTGGGCAAACATTCAAAATCAGCAGGGGATAAAATACTACTTATTTCCTTTACTGTAGGACCCGTACATTGTACATTAGTTATGCATTGATGAGCTGCGCACATCAAGGTCAGAGTGCTGTTCTCTGGCTGTATGTTACTGATGCATATTTGAAGCATGTGCAGGATCAGAATGTGCTTCAGATATGTCTGGATGCACAACAGGCACAGGCTTAGCATGTCATTCTGTCTTCTTTTTATGAAGAGTAAAATACAAATGTGAACAGGCTGCATCACTTTTTCTACCTATACTGTTAAAACTTAAAATGTGTCTTCAGTGGTAAGGCCATACTACACTAGCACCTTTTACACTAACAATCATCATTTGGAGGACATATAAAGTACAGCTGTAAGAATAGCAATAAGCTATTGCTCTGCTCTGGACAAAGCCTTGAAATTCTAAAGGATGAATGCAAGAAAAGTGGTAGATTATAAGGTGCAGGTTTAGTCACAGAACAGATAGCATTAGCCCAATGGGCTCCACTGTAATTACAGTCTTCCTCCTTTCAGTCTACAGAGTGGATAATATTACTTATACTACTTTCCATATCTACTTTTCAGCTTCTATTCCATTCTGTGACTTTTCAGATGAAGAGGAGCAGGTTGCCTATTCTGTTACATAGTGTATTAAGCTGAAGTATTCTAAGCGCCTTGAAAAGAGCTAATGGCACAGTAAACCCTACTGGTGCACCCTTGACCTAAGATCCCTTACACTATGAGCCCATTTTCATTTGCTTCATGGACTAATTAACAGATTCCCAGGCAGAAATAAAAGAAAAATAAGAAGCCAGAGTAAAGCAAAGTAAAGTAACAATCACATCCAAGGACTGAAAAAATGATATTATATTAAAATTCTGTAGATTTTGCTTGGGGTTAGATACACTAAAACTTCTTGTTCAGAGATATTATAATAGAACACTTTAATAAAGGCTGAGGGTATTGGATATTCCTGATATATTTTAATCTTTTCATTTACAATAAATGCGGCATATGATTTTATTACTGCTGGTTATTATAGGATAATATGTATTGCAGTGATATCAAACCATTCTGCTTTGCAATTCTTCTATTGTGTCTGTTTATGATTTGTGTTAATACAATATAATGCATTATAGTGGCATTATCAGGGTAAAAAGGCATGTTTTGTGGTTTCAGAGTCTAAAACCCATAGTCGATTCAGAGAATAGCAAAATAAACTCTTGTAAAGCTTGTTCAATATGCTCTTACAGGCAAACATCCCTTCCTGATCTTCAAAGGCAATTGGATATTCCCTGGATCAACATTCTAGAATACTTATATAAGTACCTGTTTACCTTTCCCTTCTCAATCCAGGCAAACAGCTAATTAAACACAGATGACAAACATTTATGGGAGTGGTTTTACCTGGCAGAGGAGTCTTATTTATGTCCATCCAGTCTTGAGATTTCAACAACTCTGCCAAACAGTATAGCTCTGTCCATGAAACTGACCTTATTTTGATCTGCTGCAATTTCACTGTCACTTACAGGTACCATCCCTGCGCTCTCCGGCAGTGAAAGAAGAAAGCAGCTCATCTCTCTGTCACTCTGCTCTTTCTATATATCTACATGCTCCTTGCACTGGAGCACATTCAATTGGCTCCTTTTGCTATTTCTGCCACCCTTTCCCTGAGCTCTGCTGTACAGAGGATTGCAAATAGCTGATACCAAGTAAAATTCAGGCACTTACATTGCTTGCATTTAAAAAATACAGTGAATGATATATTACCATATGCCCTCCTGAGGATTTACCCCCATTCCTGACCAGGCCATTTTTTGAGTTACAGAGATGCGTTACTTTAACTGACAGTTGCGCAGTCATGCAACGCTGCACCCAAATGAATTTTACGCCCTTTTTTTTCACACAAATAGAGCTTTCTTTCGTTGGTATTTGATCTCCTGTGCAGTTTATATTTTTTGGGCTATAATAAATAAAGACCGCCAATTATGAGAAAAAAACAATATTTTTTACTTTTTGCTATTAAACATGTCCAGTAAAAAAATGTACAAAATCAAATTTCATCATAAGTTTAGACCAAAATGGATTCTGCTACATGTCTTTGCTAAATAAAATCCCAATAAGTATAATTAATTGGTTTATGTGAACATCAAAGTGTTTACAAATGGCGGTATATATACTGGGATTTCGTTTTTTATTTTTACTAGTAATGGCGGCGATCAGTGACTTATAGCGGGACTGTGGCGGACATTCTAACACTGGGGGGAACTGACTTGGTGTCACTGACATCCCCAGTGACACCAATACAGTGATCAGTGCTAATTAAAATCACTGACACTGTACTAATGGCACTGGGCAGGAAGAGGTTAACATATGAGGCAATCAAAGGGTTAACTGTGTGCTGTGTGCCATTTTAAATACTGGGCTGTGTTTGTGCTTCACTGTAAGCACACTGCTTTGCATGCAGCCATGCAAAGCAGTGTGCAGGAGCTGACAGGGGAGAGAACTGTTTTGTTTACAAACAGTTCTCCCGTCAGTCAGAGATACTCGGCAATCACAGGTCGCCGGCACATAATCACTGGCTGAGACCCGGCCAGCCAAGGTCACGAATGGCGGCGCCCCCTACTTGGAAATGCAAAATCACGTATATATAAGTAGTTTTGCGCACCCGTGCCACCCTGTAGCAGTACTTCTGCTATAGGGCGGGCAGGAAGTGGTTAATGGTTACAGAGACACATTCATTTTTGTCTTTTATTTCTGCCTGGATTTTAGGTTTAAAGCAGAACTACATTCTATCTGAGCACCACAAGCCAAAAATCCTATTTAATACATTTTTAAATATTCAAGCAAACTCATCCATCCATCAATCTATGCCTCCATGCTTTATTTTGCTGAGAAATTACTTTGATAAAAACCACCATTAGCATTTTTAGCTGTGGCCATCTTGAGTAGCATTTGCTTTCTGGAATCCATCTGCCCTTAGCTCAGGCATGCAGGTACGAGGGTGTGTTTAAGTGAGAAAACCCCTCCTGAAGACTCATGGGATGTATGACATCATTTGGCCTGGAAACCAAAAAACAACTGAATAATTGTAAAAAAAAGTTTAAAACACATACTGTAAAGATAATACATGTTCCTATCTATTTACTAATGCTAGCAGTATAAGGATTAGAAATAGTCAACGTCAGGGGCGGACTGACCATTTGGAAACTCGGGCCCGGGGTCAGTAGGGGGCCCCATGAGATGCCCCTGGTACCTTTTTCATAGGCTTTTTTGAGTTTGGGCAAGGACACAGGGGCCCCATGATCCCCTATTGCCCGGGGGCCCCATGAGTTGTCAGTCTGCCCCTGGTCAAAGTTGATTGAGAAAGTGAAGTTCTGCTTTATGAACAGAAGCCAGTGTTTTACATTGGTCCACCACAACGTTTTTTTCAAAGCCATTCCAGATTCATCTACACACATGACATGAGAGAGGCAAAGGATCAAGCGACCAGAGTTCTGCACAGAAGACCTGTAAGTAGTATACTATATCTACCTGCATTGCATTTTTCTTTAGATCAGATCATTAGTTCATAGGGGTTGATCATAGATTAGATCATAGGGGCTGATTTACTAAAATGGGTGCAAAATCTGGTGCAGCTGTGCATGGCAGCCAATGAGCTTCTAACTTCAGCTTGTTCAATTAAGCTTTGACAATAAAACCTGGAAGCTGATTGGTTTCCCTGCAGAGCTGCACCAGATTTTTCCCTCTCCAGTTTTAGTAAATCAGACCCACACTGTACTGTTTTACATTAGCAATGATTACTGGATAGCAGAAGTACTTTTAGGATTGATTCTACTTACTACATAAAGTGGCTCTCATTACGCCTCCTTAACTGACCCAATTTTCTAGTGCAGACATGCCTGCCTACTGACGCACTGTATAAACTGTTGTGAACAAAAGTTATTCAGTTTGGATCATGTTAATTTAATTATCAAAGTACTGGGAGAAATTAATTTAGAACACCACGAGAAAATGATCATGCTGCAATGAAAGTCCTTTTCAGTTAAAGTGGAGCTCCAGCCAAAACTTTTTTTTTTTTTTTTTATAGAGTAGAGAAGATTTGTCTATTTCTCCAGTGAAAATATTCTCCTTCATTTTTAGCTGGATTATATCCTGGTAGAATTTCATTTGAAATGTGTTGTTTTAAGAACATTTGTTTGATTTTCTGATTGTTTTTGGGGTCAAATCAATGTTCGTTTTCTGCTACAGTGATAATAAAATTCAAAGGAGCAGGATAGAACTTTTTTCTCAAAAGAATAGATTTCTAACAGTGGATGTGGTTTTCATTTGGTAAAGTCCATTCCTCCCAAACTCAAACAAAATTTTTAACTACGGTACTTTTGAAGGGCACTGAGAATTTTCTAACAATTCTTTGTATAAATTTTTGTTTGAAAAGCTACTAGTTTATGGCCAGCTTTATCTTCTGGTAGCACCAGGAATTAAAGTGTTACTAAACCCTGGACCCTGCATTCACTATATCAGGTATCCAATAGTACACTCAACATGCAAATGCAATTATTTCAGTAAATATAAACTGCTAAAAACATTTTCTCATCAGAGGTTAGAGCAGTCTTGTGTCTTCTATCAGTGTCCAGCTGAGCACTGGTTAAAGCTTGTAGGAGGAGTTTTCATTCTCCCCCCATTGGCCTGAGACTGCAGTACCCCTGACCTTCTGTTTGGACAGTGTGGATTAGCCCTGTGCTGATCACATGCACTCTCTCAAGGAAAAAAAAACTCTACAATACACACTAAACTGAGCATGTGCAGCTTGCCCCCTAGGCTCTGTTCTATCAGGAGATGGATGGGGACAGTAGAGGAAGGGGAGGATCAGAGAAGTCAGGATTAAACATCCTTTTTACAGGGATTAAAAAGGGGATTAGCCCCTTAAATTCTGCATGATTTAACTGTTGTGGGTTTAGTGACACTTTAATAACATATTTCATTAAAATAAGTTTTCAACCTTAAGTGCTTATTGCTTAGGAGCAATTATCTCTAACAACAAGTCTGAATCCATCTTATGCCGGCCTGACAATTGTGTCCTGGTTAACTGGTGAAAAAAGTTTTAGTTCTCATGCACACTGGACACTTTGCTATCTCTCCTAGACACCTTTCCTCCTGGCAGCGGCATTTTAGCAGAAAAAAATGTTTTGACGCTTGTCAACGTTCTTATTGCGTTTAGGTGTGTTTAGTTGCGTCAAGAGTTTGAGTGTTAATTCATTTCATTGGCCAGAATAATAATTTATTCTGGTCATTGAATTTAATTAACGTTCAACTGCTAAAAACGCATAGCATTACCACCGCATTACAAACGCATAGCATTACACTTTTTTTATGCCAAAACGCCATTGCTCCTGGACACGCTGGCAGTGGGTTTTTTCTGCCTCTAAACTCCTATAAAAATCTATGTATGGGCACATGCAGGGGTATTTAGAGGCAGCCCAGAACTGTTTGTTTTGGTAGTTATCATTTGGGGGGGGGGGTTCTCCTTTAATCATGCCTATTCTGGTTAGGATTTTTTTTTAAGTTGTGATTGATTCAATATGATTTGCTTACAGTGATTTGCAAAATTGTTAGACCCTAGCAATGACTTATTTAGACCCCTTTGGTTTGTCAGCGGCGTCAGTGATGTCCTCTGTGTGTGCCTCTTTTGTATGTTTGTGCTGACACACATGGGGCAACAACGGCCTGTCTCCCGACCGCGCACCTGCATGATACCCAGACATAGGGACTTCTGAGAGTTTGGAGCTGTGGCCAGGTGGCCATGTTAATTCAATGATGTCACAAGCATCCCCGCCACTTTGTGTACATGCAGGTGGGGAGTGGAGAACGCCACTTCTACAGCTAATTGTATGGGTGGGGATCAGGGGCAGACTGACCATTTGGAAACTCGGGCAATGCCCGAGGGCCCGGGGTCAGTAGGGGGCCCCATGAGATGCCCCTGGTACCTTTTTCATAGGCTTTGTTGAGTTTGGGCAAGGACACAGGGGCCCCATGATCCCCTATTGCCCGGGGGCCCCATGAGTTGTCAGTCCGCCCCTGGTGGGGATGAAATCATGTGACAGCTTCCAACAGGTTTAGCTGAACTGGGTTCAGACCAAGTTTGAACAAAACCCAACTCATCTCTGCTAAGGACTAGAAAACTGCATTACATTAAATATGACTCCAACAAGAACAGAATGATGAAAGCCAGACCTTTAGATTAAAGCTAACCTCCAGGCAAACAAGAATTTGTATTTCTGTCCACCCAGTCCTGAGATTTACACAGCTTTTCCACACAGTACATCCAGGAGAAAGACACCACGCTACAGATAAGGTGTCATTTCCCAGACCCCTGCCTACTGGTTTGACATTGAATGAGAAGCAGAATATCGATGAGCTCATCTCTCTGCTCACTCTGCTTTTAACTCCTGTTAGTACATGTGCATGCAGCTTGCCCTCTACCAGTCTGAGTGCCACTGCACTGGAGTTATAATATTCTAAAACCACATTGAATTTTGACAGCGCTAGTTGCATTGAAATATTCAGATCCCATTCACACTTGAGCATTTTTCAACTCGATGCTCGACGCTCAAAACAGCTCAACAAGTAAAATGCCATTATTGTAAATGGCTCCTGTTCAGACTTGAGCCTTCTGTAGCAAAACGCCTTTCACCCAAAAAACTACTTGCACTATTCTTCAGGCAGATCTGAGTGTTTTGTCCCCATAGACTTGAATGGAATATGCCTGACCAGTGGGAGTGAGCATTTTTTTTCAGGCGTGTTAAGCTTAAACAGCAGCTATTTCTATTTCTATTGGCCACTAAATGAAAAATGCCTAAAATATTTGCAAATCTGCTAAAAAAAAAAAAGCTAAAAAATGCTTAAAAAAAGCACTTGAAAAAACGCCTGAAAAATGCTCAGCTCAGTGTGAATGCGGCCTCAGCCTGCATGCACACTGAGTTTAAAAAAACACTGCTTTTGCAGGCCTTTGACTTGTTTTTTCAGCCTGTAAACACACCTCTACGTTAGCCTATTTGGCCATGCACACATGGGCTTTTACAGGCATATCAGAAGAGGAAAGATTAAAGACTGAAATAAAATCATCACTTGCACATTCAGGAGAGGAGCTTTTAGGCAGAAAAAAACGCTGAATGCACCTAAACATGTCTAAATGAGGCTAAATGTTTGAAGCATTTAGTGCTTGAGCATTCATTCCAATGGCCAGAATAGATTATTCTGGACAATGGAATCAGTGAACACCCAAACTCTTGACATGTCTGTGTTTATACAAAATGCAGCTTTAGCCACTTTTATTAAGCTTTTTTTTTTTTTCTGCCCGGAACAAAGGAGTCCAGGGGAGGAAAAAAAAACATCCAGTGTGCATTAGGCCTAACAATTTATTGCATGTGCGTCCTCTAGGTAAAAAGGATTTGTTGTTTTTTAGTTGGAGGCTTGTTAGAAGCCTGGGATGAGTCAGCCTGGAAGTGAGGTAATGAGTTCACCTCAGGACAGGCTGGGAGGCTCTACAGGTCAAGGCTTCTGGAGCCCTCCCACCCTTCCAGAAACTTCTGGCGCTTTCTGGAAGCGGAGCGGGAGAGAAAGCCCAGATTTGCATGTTAAGGGAACTTGGCCAATCTCCAGGCAGGAGGCTGGGCATGGAGGCCAAGTACAACCGTTAAAAATGAGAGAGCCTGTGCAGCAGGGGAGTTAGATGGAAGATGGACTGAAGGAAGGTGCTGGAGAGTGGAGCCTGGGAGGGTGGCCCAGGGAAGGGAGCTTGCCTACAGGCTGGTTGCTGGACAGAAGGATCTCCACTGTACCAAGTCTCCTAGGAAAGACAATCCTGTTGGCAGGGAAGGGGCCAGCCCAGTGTAAGGCCTGAAAGCAGCTGCAAGTCACCAAGCTATCAGGACAGGACATTATGAGTACTTCTACAGCCCCTGGGCCAGATAAAGGGAGAAGGTGGTCAGGTGCAAGACCCAACTAGTTTTCATTCAGGATTTATGGAGGGTGTGTGTGTACGTGTACATGTGTGTGTGTGTTTGTGTGTGTCTGTGTATGCATGTACAATTGTACATGTGTCTGTGTGCATGTCCATGTGTGTATCTGTACATGTGTCTGTGTGTATGCACATGTATGTGTGTGTGTGTGTGTACATGTGTCTGTGTGTGTACATGTGTCTGTGTGTGTGTGTATGTACATGTGTGTGTGTGTTTGTGTGTATGTACGTACATGTGTCTGTGTATTTATGTACAGGTGTCTGTGTGTATGTACATGTGTCTGTGCGTATGTATTTCTGTGTATGTAC